TCGGGCGCCATAGACCTCCATTATTTGAATGTCAGCAGACAGCAAGAAGCCTCCCAGATCTCCAGATGCATTTGAGATATCAAAAAAGTACTCCAGAGTGTTGTTCAGCATGGGGGTGAGTAGAAAATGAAGGCTAATCGTGTTTTGGGTGTACTATTCCTTTAAATCACTCACCAGCATATTGACAGATGAAGAAATTAAACAAATGCATCAGCTGTTTCACTGAACAATTTCCAGAAAAAATTATTTTTTTCATAGTTATTGTAATAATTAATAAATGGGATAAACGGTTCCTGCCATCAAGAAAAACTACGGTTGTAAAAAGGTTTCTTGGAAATCCTGTCATATAAGTCCAGGGGTTAAAAAGGTATTTCAGTGAGATGACAGAGAAAGTGCTTGAATGCCTTTTTTGGCATTGGCACTACTCAGTTATTAGACTCTTTCAATCAAATGCAGTTCAGAATACTTAAAAACTATTATATAGTCCTTAGATTTAACATGAATAGGGAGCACTAAGACAGATCCCAGGTTATCCTCTTGCATCATTCTGTGCTTAAAAATCACGTTTCTGTTATTGTTTCTTTTTCATGTTGTACCCCACATTATGTCCAGCATATCAATAATAATAATAATAATAATAATAATAATAAAAAAAAAATTGGTAGTAGGGTTGAAAAAATAGCTTACAATCACCAGATGAAGACATGCTGAAAGTAGCTGAATGGAACTTCACAAGACTCGTTTTACTTTCATGAGAAAAAAGTGACATTCAAATATTTAGAGATTTCATGCTGTAAAATTGTGTTACATCCCTATTTAAGATATAACTCACCTTTGTCTTTCAACTCACCTTGACTACTTTTATTTTCCTTTCATCTATGAACAGAAACCTGAGTAACAACAAGATCTCTCTGCTGCGAAACGGCTCCTTCTATGGCTTGGCTGCCCTGGAAAAGCTGTAAGTACTTAAATCAAGCACTCTTAACAGCTTTGTCCTCCCCAGAGTCCTAGTAGCTGTCATCACCACAGCAGTATTGTGCTTTTAAGCGGTAAAAAGGCAAACAGAGAACATGGTGGGAATTAGGAGATCTTTGTCAGTTTTTACCCTGCAGGAGGCTCTCCTGTTTTTATTTTTTTTATTTCCATGTCTTGTGCTTGACTCCCACCGCTGCAGTAAAAAGTCTTACAAGGGGCTAAAATATAACATTATATAAGAGACTAATGCGATGCAAGATCAGTGAGGTTTGACAGTGCGACTGACGAGCCATGTCCATGTCGATGAATCTCGTACCGCATGCAGCGTCCCAGAGGGTTGCATTCATAAAGCCTGATTATAAGCTCTGTGACGGCTGGCCCTGCTTTGCCCCCTGAAGTCAACTATTGATTGCTTTCAACTACGTCCAGCCCAGTGATCGCTGATTTTCTACAGCACACAGAGCCGACAGCGTGATACCTCACTGTGCTTTACTCAAAAAACTATATGGAAGCACACACTCACACATGCAGGATACAATGGCGACTGGTGTGGAAATGATGACTGTCACTTCTGTCCCTGTCACCCCAGACCAGTTGACAGTTAAATACACACTGGAATATTATAACTGGAATAATTATGTCCACTTTCTTCTTCTCTTTGTGACATTGGTGGACATGTAGGATGATATCATGCATCTCTATGGGTCCTATTAGTGGCATTAGAAATATCTACTTGCATTGCTCCAGCACTGCTGCTGCTGCTTTTAAAGGCACTAGGCCAAATGTTTGCTATGGCTGCCCTTTCAGAGCAGCGATTTGTGTGGCCTGTGCCTCCAGTTGGCTCGCTCTATGGACATGTTCTGTCCGTCCACCTTGCCCCATGCAGCCTTTGGCAGTAATGTGTCTGTCACTGGTGACTGATGCGTAGCCAGGTAGCCGCAGTAAGTTGAAAGTGGCAGCCAGATGTTCCCTCGTCTGCCCCTGCTGACCAACTTTCTGCTTGGATGGTTGGCTAGCTGACTGGATGGGATGGTTGAGCTGATTTGGCAGTTGATTGACAGGTCTAATATGGCGTGTTTTTGCACCAACACTGCTGCAGCAAGCCCTAATCCAGTTAAACATACACACCTTTGAAAGTATCAGTGGCAATTTAGTATTTTTAAGAACATTTTTTTGTTTCTACCACTTACATTACCAGACTGTATACAGGCCTTTATTACTTTGCTGTTTCAATGAGTAAACATACAGTATGTAGCACATGAGGTATGTGCAGTTCTTTAGCAAAAGTCAAGTGTTAACTCTATTAATGTTGTAGTTTATGAACTTTAAATAAGATAATTCAGGCCATTTAGAGTAGAATACTAATTTGATAAAGTATTTAATAAAGTATTAAGTAATTTGGAAACTGGAAAAATACCTCTTCTGTAAATATTTTAGTAAAAGATGGAGTGGTACTTAGGATTATTTTTGCGATTTTATTAACCAATATAAGTAGTAGACAGAATAGCTAAATGTTATTCCTGCATTCCTTAACCAATACATTTCTATAAGTTAATTAAATCATGTCAAATACTGAGGAATGATTTGCCCCAACCCCTGCCATTCAAGTAGAGGAGTGGTGACCTACCACTCTGCCACAGCAATATACAGAAACTAGTAGTTATCAAGCAATCTCTATTATTACCATTCAGAGCAACCAAATCCTAATTGTCTTCTACCATTTATAGAGTTATTAAGAGGGTTTTAGTTCAGTTTATATCTGAAACAGCTAAAACTGGTTGAAAACAACCAAGCTTTATCTGAAGATCAAGTATTGATAAATCAGATGGTTAATTCATCCATCCATCTATTTTCTTCCGCTTTATCCGGGGCGGGGTCACGGAGGCAGCAATCTAAGCAGAGATGCCTGGACTTCCTGATCCACATACAACTCATCCAGCTGCTCTGGGGGGCGACACTAGGCCAGCTCAGAGACACAGTCCCTCCAGTGTGTCCTGTGCCTTGCACAAGGCCTCTTCCCAACAGCCTGTGAAGGAAACTCATTTCGGTTGCTTGTATTTGCAATCTTGTGTTTTCCGTCATTACCCAGATCTCATGACCAAAGGTGAGGGTAGGAACATAGATCGATCGGCAAATCGGGAAAAAAGAAAAGTTATGTTTAGAGATGTGAACACACACAAAAGCTAAATATCAAAGCATGTACCTTTATTTTCTTTATTTCTGATGTTCTTATTTCTGAAATCCTCTTTCTTTTCTCCCTATTTTACCTTTTTAGATGCCCATGACTAAGGGGGGCATTTTAACACGGGTATGAACACTTCTAATAGTTGCTGTTGAAGAAAAACTCATTCCCGATTTTAAAGCCTGGCTCACATTGTTTGGTGGAGTTATTGATCAAGACCATTTAAAAACACTAACGAAGAGACTTTAAAAGTACTAAAACGCAAATCACTCTTGAAGATTAGTGTTATTAATATCAAGTTTAATAAAAAAAAGGTCATCGCTTCACTACTGAGTTAAAAAATTTATATTTTCTTATTGTGTTTGAACGTAAGATAGGCTTTAGATATTTAACATGCAACACAATTAAAAAATACTTTTTTTGTTATTATAAAAATTGATATCTTACATGTTTCACTAAAAAGCTTAAAAATCCATAAGCCTCACATAAGGATGCTTACAGTATGTTACAGTAAGTTAAAGTTGGCCTTTCACAATTTTTATAAAGGATGTTGTTGCTTGGAACATATTGAAAAAATGATTAGAATTCCTTCCTCAACTTATAGCTGCATTTTTTTCTTTTTTGCAGCTTAGTTAGCAGAATCATTCTAAATATCCCAATATAACTTTTTATTACACCTAAGATCATCATTTTCATCTTTATCATCACAGGCCACTGTAAAATTTCGGGTCTTTTAAAAAAAAGGTTCAATGGAAATTTATCTTGGTTGAGCAGATAAATGCAGGGCCCCTGTATGTTGGAAGATGGCCTGAATCCCCCCATATGGACAGCGGCCCATTACCGTCAGCCAAAATGAGTCCCAAAGGGGCAAAGCAAAACAAAGCCCATCACTGTTCTCTGTTCAGTACACAGAGTCTTGCTTCATCAAAGGCTCCCATTGCAGAAGGCCTTTCTGTCTCAATGAGACTGGCACAGTTTTTGGTTCTCATGCTATTCATGTCGTATTTTAACATTTGTACAGGAACATATTTTGTAACAAGTATTAACACTATATGGATAAATAAACCATTCTAAAGGAAACATGAAGTGGTCTGATTGCTGAAACCATCAAATACTCGATTACCAAAAGCAAGACTTTTATTCTTGCTTTCTAAGGCGCTAAACTTTGCTGAAGTTGTAGATTCTTGTTCTGTATTAAATAAATTCATTTTTATATGAAAGAAAAATATATATATTTTTTTTCATTCTTATTTGACCAAACATTATTCATCGAGTCAGAGGTATTTGAAGGCAGGCTTGATGGACGGAAGTTACTTTAACCCAGAGGAAAAACAATATTGGAATTCTAGGTAGCATCTGCAATAGGTCATTCCAAGAAGTGGATGTCATAGGTGCAAGGAGGTGTCTTTTCCAAAGTTTTCCAACTCTTGTTTAGACAGTGACGTTTATTCAGTCTTCCTCATGAATGAATCTACCTGGCAGGTGATTGATGGAGGAGTGGCAAATCGCTGAAGGACACATCCTCTCATTGGAGAATATATGTTCAAATAAAAGACAAAAGTATAGATGGGAAATGAATGATGTTTTGCAGCCATAAATCAAAGTGATCCAAAGTATCTTTCCAAGAGGGTGAGAGGTCAGAAAATAATGGTAGGTGGGGAAAAAAAATTCTGCTTTTAGTCAATCGCTGTTGTTTAAAAAAAACAAAAAACAAAAAAAATGATAAAAGTTGGTATTACTTTTGGGAAAGCAGGGAGATTCCCACAATAAATGTACCAATGTAGCAGGGTAATTAAGGACATTTGTATAGATTGTATGTTAACAGGTATAATATGACAGGTTTTTGTTTTAGGTAGTATTGTTATTGATCAGAAGACAGGCCTCACATGAAAATATTTTCCTTTTGAACACTTTGTGACAGCTTTTTCATTTCCTCTGATCTCTTTTTAAGTCACTAATACTGCAAGTAGCAAAAGTTGAGCCTTCTGCCCCAGGAAACAGCCTTTACCTAGAAGACTGTTTTGGTTAGTGTTAATGCATAGAAGGGGAAACAGAAATGCCTTTATTGTCCCACATTAGGGACATTCTGTAAGTTAAGTTAGGCCATTTGATGCATTAATTACAGAAAAACAAAATCCTATAATATGGTCAGGATAAATGGAAAATTTAAAGATTTATTCTAAATGTATTAATCTTATTCTTTATTTATAAACAAAAAAATCAAAGCAAACCAAGTAAATGACTCCTCTGACATAAACTCTGACATTTGCATTTCAGGAGACTGATGAATTTTAATTAATAATCTCATATAATGTATTTATGTTGTTACTATCTCGAAATACAGTTCTGCTCTTTTTCTTGCTGTTCACATGAATGCTACTCTCACAGTCTAAGACAGTTTCCCCCCATTTGTTAAACAAAGTGCATGCAGTATGATGAAGCATTGTATGGAACTAAGTTAGAATTTTAAATATGAATCATTTTATTGTTGTTTGGGAGAGGATCACTGGTGGGTCACTGCTGCAGAATAGCATATGAGCTCAAAAGATGTGTCTAATTCTCTTACCAAGTATGGGGAAACAGGGAGGCTTGCTTTGCTTCGCTCCTTTGTCCTTTTGCTGGAGGTTGTTGATCACAGATTGTTGGCTGCTGCTATGTAAATACAGTAGCAGATGAATCCCGCAAACCTCAGTTGCAATATGATTCCCAACTTGTCCCTTGTTTCATACTTCTAGCCCTAACGGGATAGTCAAGCAAAGCTGCTGTTGCTCAGAAATCTTTCTGGTGATTTTAGACATTAG